TTGACAAAATACTGTGTTAGTTACAGAAAACTAGAATAGGTTTTAATGACAAAATAGTGGGTTGGTGATAGAATTAGGCCAGGTAAAGTAAAGGATTAAGTCTAAAATGCCCGTTGTTTTTAGGTTATTGTGGAAATAAAAACCATTAATTGACAAGTGTGTATCCACTTCTAATTGGTGAACCTCTGGGCCAATTGTCAGCAATCCTGGTTTGTAACCATAGTGACATAGTGAGTCAACATTGGGATTTGATCCTCTTATGTCACCCACCCCTATGTGTTCAGTATGAACTGAACTGGAATGTGATCTGGTAAACCATAATTTGATAATACTTTTTTAAGACAACCTTATAACAAGATGCTTCTACTCACCTTGCCAACAAGCACCAACAACAAATGTAGTGTTGACACCTTTCATTGGATGTAACGGCCAATCATCAATGACTTCTGGATTGTTAGCAGTGACTCTGAAGACCTGTCCGTCTATATAGAGAAATGCCTTAAAAAAATCAAAAAACATCGTTAGAGTATTCCAGTCTAAGATTAAAGTAAAACAAGTTAATATGCTAGCTGATAACCAAATATAGAATTATGAAAATCAAGTAATTTTTATGCTGTCATATCTAATAAAATGTAACAGATTTGAAAACTTATAAAAGGAGAAACTGTCCATAACATTCATTAGCAGACAGTCACTTACAGCACTTATTAACAGTCACCCACAGCATTTATTAGCAAGGAGTGACCTAAAACATTGCAAAATAATATATACACTATGTTAAGATAAATATCATAACAAACTCTACGACTCTAAACAACAACTAGGTATGTTCGATGTGGGTGACTTTAAAAACCGTCTAATCTGTAACTCCCGACTAAATTGCTTAATAGTAGTGGCCAAAAAAAGACCTGTCATGTAAAAGTAAACAACAAAGAAAGAAAACTATTGTGTCCAAGAATGTAAAAGATCAACCAGAAAAGTAAAATGGATAGTGAAGGAAGTATAAACACGATTTTTACACTGAACTTCAAATTGATGAGAAATTATAACAAAAACAAGAAGAAGAAGAACATCCTAAACTCAGAGAAAACAGTATCATCCTGGAACAGAATGATTCACATTAGTTACAAAAAGAAAACGAAAAACATCACAAAACACTAATATGAAATCACTTATTTGAAAATTAATGTTATAGAAGCAGATTAGATCACCATCTTGTTAATTACACAGATTTTACTGGACCTGCAGGAACTGATTTATATCTCATGCCTTATTCATATAATAAAATGTGACTATACATTTGACATAATAATTAATTGAAGTCAGGTTTCTTCCAGGTTAAAAATTACATGCAAATGTTTCCAGATAATTAGATTCATAACTCACTCTTGCCAGATAACTTACACAAAAACCTCTTGCTTAACTCGTGAAGAAACCCAAGGTTCATTAATGAAGAACCCCGATGTTTAACCCATTAAGTACGCGCACACAAACACGGCAGGTATTTAGGTTTGAACAGACCAGGAATATAAACAACCTTGATGTTTAAACCATAAAGAAACCTAGGGTTTATTTTTTAGTAACACATGTGTTAAAACCATGAATAAACCTAAAACTTTTTTAGAACTATCCCAAAAAGTTACGAAATCGTTACCTTTGCATAATTTTAATCCAACAGATTAGAGGAAAGGCAGCTAGTCAATAACACCCCAGCCACTCTCGTGTTCCTGTTGTTTGACCCAACAGTGGAATTTAACCATCACTCTTAAAGTGCACTTATGGCCCCAATGCATATACAGCTCACTTCTGCAGCACAAGAACATGACCCATGAACCTTTGGATTCACATCCTTGGCACACTTAGTCCACAATGGATCATAAGGTCCATTAATGACCCCCCAAATTTCAAACCTGTGGAGGATTCTTAGATCCATACACATTTAAGAAATGCTGCTAAATTATCTGAAGACATACCTCAGGAAACTTGACACTGACAGCAAAGTGATGCCATTGGTTATCACATACTTCTGGCAATTTCCATCGCCACTCTGCAGGCCTGAAAATACTTGGTCTTTCTTGATAGAACTCTCGTCGCAGTAAGAGGATCAACCGGCAGTTCCGGACGAAGATCGAGTAGTGGTGACGGTTATGAACTAAAAATAATTAAGTCAGTTTTCTAAAGGCTAAAATAATAATAACTAAAATAAACGGGGTTATTTTGAAAGATTGGATTTCTTATATCAAAGTATAAATCATGTTTTGATCCTTAAGAGACTTTTACTATAACAAATTTCACAAAAACTGTAATAATAAAGGAATGTTTTATACTAACTTTTAATACTAACAACACCTATATATATATATTCCCAGGAATGATAAGGCTTTGTTTTATTTTGCACAAAACAAGTTGCACTAGTCATCCCTAATTTTGAAGAGATAGATTGCCAACTCTTGGGCAAATTTTTATCAATGAATAGTGGGATCGACCGACACACTATAAAGTTACCATGGCTGAAAGGGCAAGCAGGTTTGGCGACAGATTTCGATCCCACGACACACAGATTGTGAGTCGAGCAACCTAACCACCAGGTGATGCTGGGTCCAAATAATAGGGCAGTGACTCACTTCCTCATGCATTATAATTAAGCACCTGATTAAACAAACTAAAGGCAAACACAAGTCACGTCTGAAATAATATTCACATTCTTTATGAAAAATTATAGGCTTGTTTGTTGTTATGTAGAAAGCTACACAATGGGGCTATTTAAGCTCTGCTGATTGCGAGTATCAAAACCCGATTTTTAACTTTATATGCCCTCAAACTTGCTACTGAGCCACCAGGGGTGGGGGATAAGTTTAAGGACAAACTGACTGTATATACACACACCATCAATCACTACCTTACGTTAACATAGCTAAGTTAAATCATTTTCGTGTAAAAGATGGTTTATAACTTCCTCAACAGAATATAAGTACTGTTGTAGGCTGTGCTTTTCCTTCATTATAAATTTGTATTGTTGTTTCGACAAATAGCGTTGATGTCACGTGACGAGCGCGTGGCTTAACGTCTAGAATTTTTTTTTTCAAAGTTTAGGAAATTTATTTGAAAGGATAAAAACCCGAGTTAGGCGTAATTAGGTTATTGATTGATTACTGGCTGTGGTTCATTGATGAGTTTGTTAGTTGGTTTTTGTGCTACGTAAATTTCGTGAATATGAAGTTCGTGTTTCAACGGCAAAATTGAGATAGATTAAGTATCTTAAACACGAGAAAATTTGCAAGTAATTACAACTTAGCGTTATTTATGAAGTTAGGCCTACCGTTAGTTCGTGATAGTATGTAAGTATGGAACGCTTTCGTTACCGTAAGTGGACTAGACTTGGCATTTTTTTTATTTAATAATTCGAAAGAAAACCCGTTACCCTATTATACACGATATTCTTCGGTTTTTGTCTGATACTTATATCAGTACACGGATTCTTTCTTGGACTTCTTATCCATTGTTTTTTCACGTGTTTTACAGTGATGGATTACACATCATCTGGGTCATTCCGAGGACGATTAACCATCATCAAAACGTAATCTCCCTTGTGTGTAGTAAGACTTCATGATAAATCACCGAACTGTGACTTTCAGAGCTTTTTCTTTTTGTTGTTATTAATGTTATCTCAGTGATTTGTTCTTCTCGTGGCGGTAACACGAGGAAGTTTGAGTTTCAGAGCTGGCGTCACTGGGTTGAA